TTTACTTGGTTAACAAGCAAACTCTGGATTGTCAGAAAAGATAAAAAATATAAATTATATTTCTAGATGGACAGAGCATAAGAATTAATTTAAAGAATCCTTTTGTCAATCTGTTGCGATGAAGATTCGTTTATATTTATTAACATACGTTTTAATTCAATCATTAATTAGTTTTATTACAGCACAACAAAATGATGCTGGACAATTTCTAGTAAGTAAAACAAAAAAATGAAATTTTCAAATAAATATTAGTATAATAACATTTCAGATTGGTGCCGGAATTTACGACATAACCGGACAAGTTGCAGAAAGTAAATTTTTATTTTTTAAAGAAATATTTCATAATTAAATAATTGTTTTTTTTTGTTTAATCAATATTAAATCTTGTTTATTTATATTAGTTGGTTTTATGGGTTATGCAGTTCCAAAACAACGTGGTCATGGTTTATTACAACGAATGCGTTCTCGTGCATTTATAATAGGTGATATTAATAGAGAAGAAAATCGTGTTGTTTATGTATCAGTTGATAATGGTATGGCATTTCAAATAGTTAAAACAGAAGTTATTGATCGTTTAAATAAAACATTTGGATCAAATTTATATACAGATAAAAATGTTTTAATATCTGGTACACATACACATTCAACACCTGGTGGTACAGGTGCTACTGCTCTTGTTGATATAACAACATTTGGTTTTGTTAAAGAAAATTGGGAAGCATGTGTTAATGGTATTGTTCAATCCATAATACGTGCAGATAAAAATCTTCAACTAGGAAGAATTAAAATAAATATTGGACAAGTTGATAATGCTAATATAAATCGTTCTCCAGCTTCTTATATGAATAATGTTGATCGAGGAGAATATACTGATAATACAGATCATGAAATGACTGTTTTAAGATTTGAATCAATTGATGGAAAAAATGAAATTGGTATGATAAATTTTTATCCAGTACATGCTGTTAGTTTAAATAATACAAATTTATTAGTTGCTGGAGATAATAAAGGTTATGCTTCATATTTATTTGAAAAATTAAAAAATCCATCAGGAACATTACCAGGTCAAGGTTCATTTGTTGCTGCTTTTGGACAAAGTAATGAAGGTGATGTTAGTCCTAATTTAATGGGTCCAAAATGTATTGATACTGGATTACCATGTGAATTTTATACATCAACATGTAATGGAAAAAGTGAAAAATGTATTGCTTTTGGACCTGGAAAAACTATGTATGAATCAAATGAAATTATTGGAAAAAGACAATTTGAAACAGCTAAAGATTTATATGATAAAGCTCAATTATTTATAAATGGTAATGTCAATTTTCGACATACTTATGTTGATATGCAAGTAAACAACAAAATTTTCATTTTAATTTAAACATAAAAAAGAAATTTGATTTTGTTTTTGTTTTTTTTTGTTAGACAATAAATGTAAGTAGTCGTTTTACATCAACAGGACATAATGAAACAACATGTCAAGCTGCACTTGGTTATTCATTTGCTGCTGGTACAACAGATGGACCAGGAGATTTTGATTTTACACAATCATCGAATTCAACAAATCCATTTTGGCAATTTGTTTCATCATTTTTAGCTAAACCAACTGAACAACAAATTCAATGTCAAGCACCTAAACCTATTTTACTTGATGTTGGTCTTATAAAACCAATTGAATGGGTTCCATTTGTTTTACCACATCAAATTTTTCAAATTGGACAATTATTTATTGTTGGAGTTCCAGGAGAATTTACAACAATGAGTGGAAGAAGATTAAAATTAACTATTAAACAAGCTTTACAAGATGCAGTAAGAAACAAAATATTTTGCTTTTTAATCAGAATTCATTGAGATTTCTTACAGAAGAAAACAACAAATGTCACGCTTATAGACTACGAGATTTTTAGGGAACAATTATTTACATAGAAAATACCAACAATATAATAGGTTGAGATTTTTTCAGTATCTCCCTGCAGCAGCTGGCAATTGAATCAGTCGATGAAAAAAAATTCAGGTGTGTTTCGCAAAAATCGATTTCTAAAACTTATTTAATCTTTTTCTCAAAATCAGTTTTTTTCGAGTACACCGTTTACGCGGACAAGGTTTTTTTTTTAATGACGACTCAATAGAGAAGTGATAATTTGTTTTTACTATATGGAGGACAGTTAAGGCTAGATCTTCACAGAGCCCGATTTTTGAATTTCTCTATTGGTGAAATAAAAAACCTACATATTTTCTTTTTTATCAGCGATTTTTTTGACCATGAATTCGAGAATTTTTCGGAAAAGGTTTTCTTAAAAAACAAACAAAGAGAATTTCAAAAATCGGGCTCTATGAGGATCTAGCCCTAAGGGTATTCTACAACTTAAAAATCGCCTCGGCATCTTAGCTCGTATCCTGACTGCGAAAACCTTGTCCGCGTACAAGGTATTTTTGACCAGTAAATTGACTATAACTCGTTAGTATATTGAAGATTTACGGGAGATATTTCACCCATAATCTATCCTAGTCTAGAATAATCTTCTCCGAAAATTTGGTTGAAATAGGACGAAAAATAACACAGTTGGTTTCTGAGGGGTGGAGACCCTTTAAGGAGAAATGGAAAGAAAGAACATAAGCGTATCTTTATCATTTACTGTACTTGTACATCTATTTCAATTCAAGCAGAAATTGCTTAAGTCTCTTGGATTTCTGTTTCTAAAGATAGACATGAAATAATTTCTCATTTTTTTTCTTGAAGAATATTATTCAACCATCTCTTTCTCATGTAATATTATTATCAAAAAGTTGTTATATGTTTCCTTAACAATTTATATTCTATTAAAAAAATCATTCAATAATTATTTTCTCAATATAATTAAAGGGAACATGGACATCGGATAGTCATATAGTCATAGCCGGTCTTTCAAATAGTTATTCTCATTATATTACAACATATGAAGAATATCAACAACAAAGATATGAAGGAGCATCAACTTTATATGGTCCACATACATTGGCTGCTTATCAACAAACATTTTATGATTTGTCAATGAAATTAGCTCGAAATGAAACAGTACCAAGTGGTCCAACACCATTTGATATGAGAGGAAAAACATTTTCATTTGTTGTACCACCAATTTGGGATGGTATGTTACTATTAATATATTTAATTAGAAAAAAAAAATATATGATTTGTCTTGTTTAATAGGTGTACCGATTGGAAAAAAATTTGGTGAGGTTATAACTGATGTAAATTCATCATATAAACCTGGTGATACAGTTCGTTGTTCATGGTGGGGAGCTAATCCACGAAATGATCTTTTTACAGAAAAATCATTTTTATATGTTGATCGATTAATTAATCAAACATGGGTACCAATATTAACAGATGATGATTTAGAAACTCGTTTCTTATGGAAACGACAATTTATAGATCAGAGTATTATTACAGTTGAATGGGATATTCCTACAACACAACAAACTGGACAAGATCTTTATCGATTACGTCATTCAGGTGTTAAAAATAATATTTTTGGTCGTCAACAATATAATGCACAATCAAAAAGTTTTACAATTAATAACTAAATTTTTTAATTAATCAATCTTGTTAAAAATATTTTATTTTATTCGATTTTAGTGAAAATTTTGTTTTTTTTTATATCTAAGAAAACATTTCGAAATTGTATTCAACAGATGAATAAGTTTATAGCAATAATTAAATTAATCTTCATTGTTTTTATTAACAATAAAGAAAAAAAAACGTTTTGCATACATATTATCAAAATTCTTTATTTGATCAAATAAACAAGACTTTTTCTAAAAATTTTATTTCCTGATCTTTTGCATTGTAGTTCATTATGAAGAAGAATAGTGCAGTCATATCTTAATTTAGGAACTTTTTTTATTGTTTTGTTGGTTTCAATGGAAAAAAAGATTCGGTCCTGTTGGCAAGCGTAATAGAAATATAGTTCAGGTGAATCTTAAAATAATTCTCTTCTAGTATTAATAGGTTTAAAAGATCTTGTTCTCAGCTCTATCATATCATTTTTAGTTATCTTTTCAGTCAGATTTCATAACAACTATTTGTAGTTTTATTCTATACATATTAGTAAAGACTGGAAAGGAGTTGTTGTTATTTTTTGTCAACAATTTTACAAGTAGACAACACTCATGTGTCTTACTGGTTTAATAGAAAAATCTTCCATCATAAAAAAAAATTTGATGTTTACTTTCAAAGAAGAAGACAAGCCAAATTCATCTCCTCACGGTGTTTTCTATTTTATCTCAACAGACTTCTGCAAATCTCTCATAATGTACACAACGAAAAGTCTTTATACGTCGCCCAGAAGTGGACTGCTGGAGCATGTTCCTGGAGTAGACCTCAGAACGGAGCTCAAATGCGAGCACCTGATCGGCGATTGACCGGGATTAACCTGCACAAGCTAGGTGTGGGTGTTGATCTTATTTCCACCATACCCATACCCAGAAGAGTCTTCTGATGAATCCTCTCTTAATTCTAAGTCGCATAAGTTCAAATATATCGAAGAATGACTTCGATAACTCTTTTGTTGCGAAAACTATTTTCCTCGTTGAGATCTGAGTGAACCTATCGAAATGATATTCGATTTTTTTTATCAAAAGCTTTTACAACAGGATGGCTTCGTGTGAGATCTCATGGATGGAGACTTTGAAGGTTTATTGATTGATATTATCTTCGAGTCAAACAGCGCTTGGAGTGGGTTAGAGCATATTTTACTGATACCCAAAAGGACGTACAGATTCAGGCATATTTTAAAAAAGGCTAAAAAGTCGTATAGAAAAGATGTAAAGCTAAACGAACCAGGAAATTGTGCATTGAAAGCCATCGTGGTCAAAATCACGGATCATGTTTCATCACTGCACATAATAGGCTTTGGCAATTTTTTACCCGCGATCACACATTGACAAATTTCTTGGTCCATCTGAATGTGAGACCATGGTACATTAGCTTTTGAAAAGACTTCCCACATAGTTACACCCATCGAATAAATGCCTGATTTTTCAGAACATTCCTGATGTTGAATTAATTCCGATGATGCATAACGTATTGAAATGCAATCATTTACCATTGATTGATTGTTAACTGATAAATATATAGAACTATGTCGAGTAAGATCAAAATCAGTCAATTTAATAAGATTATCCTCAGGTTTGTACTTATTGAAACAAAACACTAGTATATTTCTACATGCTAGATCTCCATGAGGGAGTGTGCGTTAGAATAAGACCCACCACCCATACCCTCAACGAACAGAAATCTAGTACAGCATTTGGCGCCAGCAGGTTAACATTACAAATAGTTCAGAAAATGACAAAATATCGTTCACTGAGATGAATTGACAACACTACATAATATTTCTGCATTTCTTTATTTTTATTTTTGTCACTATCGATATGCTATTGGGAGATGGAAAAAGTACTTGCAAATTATTTTAATAAGATGATGTCAATAAAGAACAAAAGAAGCACAAAAAGCTAATCAATATAAGACCATGAATTTGACAATATTGAGATTTTCGAGAACGATATTCGAAAATATATGTATTTACAAAATAAAATTCAACTAGAAGCACTTCTTATTTTTTTTCTAGGCAGAAGAGAGACTGACGTGAAAAGGACATCTACATCCATTCTTTCGATAAAAAAACACATTTGAGCTGAAGAATTTGAAATTCGATTTTAAGAGATTTTCTCCGATCACGATCAAAGATAGGAAGAGTGGCAAGTTGATATTGTATTCGAGAAACGATCGTTTTTTTTCTGAGATCTTGAATCAAGAGAAAGAAAATATTCATTTTCATTGAACGAGCACTTTCGATCTATCATATTGAGTTCTATGAACAAAAAAAAATCAAAATCAATCTGAACTTGTACATTGGTTTCCATAAAGAATTGACTCATATTTCTCTCATAGAATAAATATTGAAATGGATCAGTTTTTCAATTGCACTGATAAATTTGAATTGTGAAAACTATTATGGAAATTCGAGATCGAAATAGAAACATATCGTTTGATACAAAAAAAAACAAATTTCATCTGATGCTGACAATAGACAACCATTCAATTGTATCGTATTGCTTTTGAATGCCTTCAGTATTATTAGTTATATTGTTGCCTTTATTTTAAATTACAGTACGACCGCTTTTGTAAAATAATTATGTATTTTTTCATAATTGTATATTATTGTTTGACCTATAAACAGAGTTAAGATTATAAAGTAACTAGCTGCAGAATTTAAGTTTTGAATTTTTCAATATCATGTTTTTGAGAAAGTAAAAAAATCGTTGCTGGATTTATATGGATATTTCTAGAATATATTTTCTAATTTATAGTGCATCCATACTACGCATACAAATATGAAAGTTAAATAAATATGTCTAATAAAAGTTAGAATATTCCACATTAATACGTTGTTTTATATGTCTGCTTTGTGCCAGTTTGTGCACTCTTATAAATTGCTTCTATCATTCTATGCCGAACAACAGCATCTTCCCAAGTAGGGTACAAACCATCTTTCTTGGCGAACTCGTCGTATGCCCTTCCAACATTGACATGAGTAGCTTGTTCATCGTGTAGTGCAATTTCTATCATATCTTCGCCATTGAAACTTGCATAAAGCGTCGGGAAAGACATTTGCAAATGTCCATTTGACCCTCGAACTTGTAATTCGCCGTGAGTACCCTCCACTTCCCATAATAGATCCATACCTTTATATGATCCACCGCGTAAGTGAACTGATGCATATGCACCGGAAGTTAATACTCCGCTGACACTCATCTGATCATGAGATGTGAGTGGTACATCACGAATTTTGTCTCCTTTTTCATCTCGAATTTCGATAGTCTTTCTTGAATTATGAGTCGTTGCAGTAAGTGATTCGAATTCTCCCAAGACATAGCACATAGCATCTAATAAATGTCCGCCAAGTATAGTAATCATATTCGCTCCATTTTCAATATCAGCAAGATATGCATTGCCCTCATTAATTGCAGCACCCCAAGCATTACCTCCCGCATACAGATGTGTAGACAAGATCTTGCCAAGCTTTCCAGAACTAATAATTTCTTTCATCTTCTTGACGACAGAGGACTGACGTGCTTGTAGTCCTACCATTGTCTTTACACCCTTTGAACGGGCCAATTGCGTAAGTTCCTCTGCTTCCTGAAGGTTCCGTCCAAGAGGCCATTCAACGATAGCATTTTTTCCTTGTAGGAGGGCAGGTGTGATGAGAGATTTATGTAGCGGGACTTTGACAGATACCACAACAGTATCGACGTCTGGATCTTGTGCTAATTCTTCTGGCGTTGTATAGTATTTATTAATACC